TTTCCCTTACCACTTTGCTGTTGTGACCTGATTTGACATTTGAAATATTAAGTTAAAAGCAACCAAATTGCTATTAGATTTGGCTACAACAGTTAGGTTTATCAATATTATGTGTTTGAACATATTAAGCAATCAATTTAAAATCAAACTTCTGTAGTCACAATCTAAATTTAAATTTTGAGCAGCCATTTCTTATAATTACACTATGTTAAATAAAAAGCACAACTAAAAAGTTTAGATCCTTCATAAAAATGATCATACAATAATATGCGGATTAAGTGACAAATATTTTCCAAATAAAATATGTTTTTTAAATAAACCCTGATATTTATATTCATACAATTAGGAAAAATATTATTTTAATAGATATTTCCAAATGATAACCATTTGTCTCTATCTTTGCAACAGAAATAAATATTTGATTTAATCTTATTAAAATGTGCAAAAGTCTTGCAAATATTTCCAACTGTTAATTGCTTTGTCATCAGATGGAAATCATCCGGCTGTTTCACCAGAGTTTATGAGCTGCAGCCCTGAGTTTTAGACTGATTAGCAGCAGGAAACATACTTTAGAGATACATGCCTAGTTCTTTGTGAAGCAATTTAAGAAAGTCTACAAAGAATATTATTCCTTTTTTCTACTTCAAGTACTAATGGTGTCATCAACTGTTACAGGAAACCCGTAACTCCTGTTCCCCAGGGTACCTCTTATTTAGGTACAGGGTCATATTTTTTCTCTAGAAATGACCTCTTTCAGTTATCACAAGAAAATTGTAGACCAATTAATTAGTAAGAGTTCCAAACTCGTTCTCTAAGAACCTCGTTCACTATGTGACAAATTTCAGAAATCTTACTAAAAAATACTTCTAGGGAAGAAAATACAGTTATCCTTGCTTAATAGTACATTGAGGTATTACAAGCATGTGATATAAAGTAACAACTCATGTTGTTTTTCATCATATATAGGAAAGCCTGTATTATACTGGGTAAGGTTTTATCTCTGTCAGAGTAGCTTGTTTCCTCTTTCCCTTTCTCTTTATCCTCCCCAGGAATGTTAAATTTGGACTGTGAAAGAATAAATTCTATATTCCTTCAAATTGTCTAAGTAGATGTACGAGCTTCCTCTGATCCACCCAGATTCTCCATCAAGAGTCAGGGTCAGCTTATCCTCAGGGAAACAACTGGATAAATCAGTCAAAAATAAGACCGAAGGGCTGGGGATTTAGCTCACTGGTTCCGTTGCCTGCCTCACAAGCCCAAGAACCTGAGTTGGATCCCTCATACCAAAAAAAAAAAAAAAAAAAAATTCTGAAAATTCTGTCAAAAAGGCTGCATTCTCAGCATGATAGGTAGAAATATCAAGTCCCTTCTGTTCTATCTCTGCTGTGTCTGCCAAACCCATCAACTTTGTTCTATTTCCACCATATCCTCTTTCCGCTCAAACTTATATCAACATGTTGCAGAAATTATAATAGTTTTATAACTTATCTCCAAAGATCTGCTTGTGCTCTTCCAGTCTAAGCAGCACAGTGCAGTCACAACAACCATTTCAAAATTCAAATCAGATTATGTGACACCACCAAGGCTTCCTTTTGCATTTTACATCAAAATGATAATTTTTGACATGAATTTAAAAGGCCTGCATTATCTGACCTTCTTCTATAGCATCATCCTATGTGGTTTCAATTATCCATCCTTTCCCAACAAGGCACCAAAATCCCTCCTGCCTGATAACACAACCATTTACATGCTTCCTATTTTGCAAATTGAGCAGGCCCTTCTATGAGTTGCATCTGATAGGGCCACTGAGCTGCACTGCGGGACGTACTTTCACTGGCCTACTGCAGTATTTGGAGGTCAAATTTGTGTGTAGATAGGGACCTCAGCTAGAGCTATAGGCAAGGGGCCTCAGTTATCCTTTATAGGCACTCCTTGTTGTTGGCTGGGTCCCTCATAGCAGGACATCTAGGTTTCAAGAATTAGATTTAGAAAACTAAAATAGACTTGTCTTTCTAAATTCTTTCTAAATTGGCATAGCATCATTCCTAACATACTTTATTCACCAGTCATGGGCAGCCTAGAATAAAGAGAGTGGTTGTTTAGAATTCTTTTATGAATAGATATACTGACAAAAATTTGTAGTTATCCTAATTCCTCAAACCTATCACCTTCTTTCTTTATTTCTTTGTTCTATCCTCCAGCATCTGTGAAGATTGTGCTATGGATAAAACCTTATAAGAAAAATTTATATATTTTTTTCTATTCTCCATAAGAATTATCCAAAGTTACATTGATAGGATGGCCAGATTCTGTATGGAGGGGTTTGTCTATAAAAGATAACCATAGATTAAATTTTCAGACTTAATATTAACAATGAAGACATAACTTTATTTGTTCCTTGTGCACTTTTTCTACCCTTCAATTATCCTTGATGCTCAGTTTTTTATATACCTGATCCCATCCATCCATCTACCAAACAAGGAGAAATACAGGATGGCATAAAAATACAAAGAGAGAGAAGGAGGGAGGGAGAAATAGAGAGGAAGAGATGAAGAGGGGAGGTAATATTAGAAGCCTTAATAAAAATCTTCTGTGTATTAATTCTACACAATATTTTAAAATCTATGCTCACTTCAACTAACAACAAAATGCACATATTTATTTTGTGAATTTTCTTCTTTAAATAAAATCATAACAGGAAACACCAAGGAATAAAGTTTTATTAGTCAGATTTCAGCTGCTGTGAGAAAATACCTGAAACAATATATTTCAAGGAGGAAATATTTCTTTTGGCTTATGGCTTCAGAGGTTTCTCTCCATGGTCAGCTGGCTCCATTTTTGTTAAGACAGAGGCGAGGCTGTGCATCCTGGCAGAAAGGCATGGCAGAGCAAAGTTGATCACTTCATGGCAGTCTGGAAGCAGAAAGAGTGAAAGCACCAGAGAGGAATGGACTAGTTGAGGACAGAATACAATCCCCAATGTCATTCCCCTGTGATTCACTCCATTCAGCTATAGCCCAACTTTTAAATTCCACTACCTTCCAATAATGCCACCAATCATGAATCCATCAATGGATTAGTCCACAATGAAGTCAGAGCCCTCGTGGTCTAACCGATTCCCCAAACCCATCAGCTGACAACCAAGCCATCAAGCCAATGAGCATTTTGGAGAAAACGTTAGATCTCAACCATAGCAAAGTCAACAAATAACCAGAAAAATATGTGAACATTTAGAAATTAATTGATGTGATTAATAAATAATTTATACCCAATTACTTGCTTAGAAAACAGACATTAACCAGGTAAATTAGTGATTTGACCATAATGTTGTGTGAAATTTTCAATTTTCTTTTCATTTAAGAGAGATCTGTTTCGGAAGAAAGGAGCTAAAGGTGTAGGGAAGGTGGGATAGGTAGGGTAAGGGTAATAAGGGAAAAGAAAAAAATGTGAGATAATGAAAAGATGAAAATAAAGTGTTTGTAAATGGGGAGGGGAGGAGGTGGTGAAGGGAGGGCTGGGGTAAGGGGAAAAAATGAGAATCAAGACTTGTCATGTAGAAGTACAAGATCCCAATAATGAATGTAACTGTGCTGTATCCCTAAAATGTACCAATAAACTCAAAGCTGAAAAAAAAAAGAGAGATCTGTTTCAAGAGACACATATTTAAAATGTATCATGAAGGGCTGGGGACATAGCACAGTGGTTTCACCACCTGCCTTGCAAGCACAAGGACCTGAGTTTGATCTCCAATACCAAAAACAAAAACAAAAAACAAGATGTATCATGAGTCACTGCTCAGTGAAAATACATAAAAACTAGTTAAACTAGCTGGGCATGGTGGCACATGCCTGTAATCCCAGTACTCGGGAGGCTGAGGCAGGAGGATTGCAGTGAGTTCAAGACCAGCCTGGGCTGCATAGTAAGTTCCTGATCAGTCTCAACTACATAGAGACCCTGTCTCAAAAAACAAATCAAAACAAAACAAAAAAAAAAAGTTAAGCCTATTCACACTCAAAAGAAAAATTTTATATTAAATCAACATTCATCTAAAGAACCATTACATGCTTAATAAAATATAAGTTGGTTGTCAGTAAAATTATACCACTTATAAGGGTCCCATAAAGAATACTAAATAAATGCAATTTAAGTGGTATTTATTTTATGTAAATTTCTTATTCTAAAAAGATAACCCTTCATACCCTATATAACTCCCATGTACATTAAATTTAACTGGGATATTTTTACAACCTGTAAAAATTGTGTGTTACGTTTCTAGATAACTCATTATAAAAGCCAGAGCATCCCAAGCTTTTTTCAGATTTTTTTTTTTTTTTTTTTTTTTTTTTTTTTTTACCAGGTATAAAACTCATGACCTTGCACTTGCAAGGCAGGCATGGTGCCACTGAGCTAAACCTCTAGCCCAAGAATACAATTAATGTTTGTTTTTTGGTTTTTGGTTTTTTGGTTTTTGTTTTTTGATTTTTGGGGTTTTTTTTGTTGTTGTTTTTTTGTTTTTTGTGCTGGGGATTGAACTCAGGACCTTGCACCGCTGAGGCGGACCTTGCACCGCTGAGGCAGACACAGCACCAGGAGTTCAATCCCCAGCTCCTCAGCTCATTATTAAAGTCAAGTTTTTTACATTCTATGACCAGACTGCAGGTAGAAGGATTCTGACTAACCCTGAGGAGAGACAGTGAAGTTGCCTGCACAGGATTATTTTCTAGTTATTATAAAGTTATCTGATCTTAAACAATTTAGCTACCAGGAGAGCATCATATCTAGAATTCATTAGAAAATTAGCCCTTATACTTATCTATAAAAGTTTATTCTTTAATGCTTCTTGAAATACTAATGTTTTGTCATATGCCTCTTTTTGGTACAGGCAGGTGGACAGCTTGATGTAAGTGATTATAAAGGAGATGATGAGGACAGAGAATATTGAAAGATAAGAGTTCTTTACAAGAATATGGAATATGTTTTTGAAAAAGACTTTTTCTATGTCACCTTATTATCTAACAAAAGCTTCTAATGAATAAGCATGTTTTGGGATGCAGTGGAGATGAAGAATAAGACATTTCAGAAAAGGTAAGAAACAAATAGCTAGTAATAAATAATGATAAAAGCATTTAAAAATTACTCTACTGACTAGGAGTGTACCTTAGTGGCAGAGCTCTTGCCCAGCATGTATGTGCAAGACTCTATGTCTGATGCACTAGCACTGTGAATAATAATAATAATAATAAAATTATGCTCAATGCACATTACCTAAAAATAAAAAATAAAAATTATGCTAGATGTACTATTTTAGACTTCATTAACAGTTAAATCATAAAAAGCCTGGCAAAAGTTTAGTGAAAAAATACATACAAATATACATTTTTACTACAACTATTACATATACCACACACACAAAAAGTGCACAATAACGATATGAGGTGATAATAAGTGGATTTTTTTTGCTCCTCATAATTCAAATAGCCTTAATGATACCCTTATTTTTTATTAAAAAGAAGAAATTATATGCATGCAAATGATAATTTTTAGAGACAAACAGACACTAACAAGGAAATCTTAGGGTAAACTAGAGCAAGACACTATAAACATAGCACTAATTCCTATTATATAGAAAGAAAAAAATAGGCAACTTCTATAAGGAAAGCAAAGCACATAGCTATGTAAATTATTGGTCAAAGAATTAGCCCACATTACATTCTAGTAAGAAAAGTAAAGATTGATTTTAGCCATTATTTTTGTTTTAATTGGTTTTTTTCATTATTTTGAAGTCTATTGCTAGAAATTATGATGATTTTTTTCTATTCTACTAGAGCAAACCTTTGTCAGTCTTCTTATATTAATTCACTCCTCTATCTGAGCATGTTTCATGCCAAGTTGCTGACATAACAGAAATTCCATGTGCACCAGCATGGTGACTTCTACTCATATCCACAAGATACTCTTCATTTATATTCATCAAAGAAGTACTCCACAGGCAACAAACCATGGATCCAGATCTCAGTTTATTATTTCATTATCCAACTTAATCCCATTAGACACTGACCTTTGAAATAGCACAAAAACTGCTGACAAAATGGCTCTGCAAATATTTGAAATTTCCTATTATGAAGCATTCAATTTCACAGTTAGCCTTAGTAAAGGCTACTGTATACATTATTTAAATATTAATCAAAGACAATTTCAAGTGAAAATGAAAAGCATTAGTGCTTCCAGAAAATAAAATCTTGCAAAAGTATGGCTCAGTTGAAAAAACTTGATCTCTCTTCTTTGCCACTTAGAAACTGGGGGATTTTCTAGGAGCACTTTCTCCACAAGATGGTCAAATATTTCAGTCTTTTCATTTGAGTAGATTTAAATTCTATTCACAATGTATGGAAAATCCCCAATTCTATTTCTCACAAAACCAATGTATTTGAAGGCATGCCCGGTATATATATACTACAAGTGAACAGGAAGGAAATAAAATATCTATTACTGTTTAGGAATTTAAAATATCTTAAAAAAAAAGGAGACCTCAACATATATAAGGAAAGGTCATAAGAACACATTTTAGATAAAAGCAAATGAAAATCAGTATGTAATTGCACCCGTAGAAGATGGTCCGTAATGGAGTGATTATAGAATACTCAGTAAAACATTTATCTAGCAATATAAATTTAAGAAAATCTTCTTTTTAAGGTGCTGGTATTAATAGACTATCAGACCAACATCACAAAAGCTACATAAGCAAAGCAGACTATTTACCCATGCCTTCGTTTCCTCATCAACTAAATAGGTCTAATGAGTAAATCTCATTAAATCTTGTAATTCACAAGGTTTTTATGAAAAGTACTATACTAATATTTTTGTAGAAGTATGTTTGTGGAAAAGAAAATTCTATTTTTTGGGGGGATAGTGGGGATCAAACTCAGGACCTTGTGCTTGTGAGTCAGGCAGTGGCACCACTGAGCTAAATCCCCAACCCAAGAAAGTTCTATAAATACTGAGCACTTTTTCTTTAACCCACATTATATTCTTTATAAAGTCATAAAGAAGCATAATAAAAAGAAAATATAAAAAGCACACATTTACATAAAAGAATTCCACAAAATATAATAGGGTTTTCTGAACAACAGGTAATATAAATATTGCTTCTGAATGAAGACAGTATATAATAAATGGTATCAAATATTCACAATACTAATGGCTGTCTAATGTAAATTATTAAATATTTAAAAATAATCCTTTGTAATATGTATCCATTTTCCTATGAATGAATACTCCTAAGTGAAATAAATAAGTCACGTGTAAATGCCGAATAGTTTCTCTGGTGTGAATAAACTGTAATAGTACATAAGATCCTAATGAGATAACTGACATTGGGAAATGGGAAGAAAAGGGCTAAAGTGTAGGGAAAGTGGAAAGGGTAGGGGAAAGGTAATAAGGGAAAGAAAAAATATGAGAAAATGAAAAAATGGAAATAAAATGTTTGTAAAGGGGGAGGAGGGGGTGAAGGGAAGGAAGGGACAAGGGGAAAAAATGAGAACCAAGACCTGTCGTGTGAAGGTACAAGATCCCAATGATGAATGTAACTGTGCTGTATACCTAAAATGTACCAATAAACTCAATTAAAAAAAATAATCCTTTGCAAAAGCCAAGACAAGTTTTAGTACAGTCCACTGCTTTTAGCACCATTTCACTAAAAAAGAAACAAACATAAGGGCCTCTGAGGCTAAAATTAATCATGCCTTTAAATTAAAAAATAAATGATATTTTCACTTTTCCTACCTCTCATTTTATGTACACTGTTTTGCCTTACAAGTGCCTAAATCATTCATTTCACATACATTGTGTACCTACTTGTACCAAGCACTGGGCTAGGTATTTAAACTGATGATGGGGAAAATGAAACATCATAGAGTCCATCACTTTGAAGGTTCACTGTTCACTGAAGGACATCAGCATCTACACTTTACATGATATTAAAGAAATCCACACTATTGGTGGGAGTGCATATTGACAGCATACATTTTGGAAATGATTTCTTTTTCTTCTAGAGTGAAATAGGCATATATTCTTACACTGAAGCACCATACTCTAAGTTCTTGCACATTTTTATCCATGGTGTACTCAAAACTGCTTAGAGCAACATTATATGAAATAATTGAAAGAACTTAAATGTTCATCTGCAAAATATGTAAATAAATGTGAAATACTTTAAAAATAGAACAAAATGCATCTGTAAAAATAATTACTCTGAGCCTCCAACCCATTACCATGAGGAATCATAGAAATGCAGCATCAAGCAAGAAAAAGTTGTGGGCAGTAGCTAAATATATATGCTCCCATTTGAATAAAGCTCAAAAACAGAAACATGCATTATATTGCTACAGATACAAATATTTTCAGTTACACTATTTTAAGATTTTAAAAATGCTAACACTAATTCAACATAGTGCCCAAATTTGATGGGAGGCAGCAGGTACAGTGAAGAAACGCATCCAGGTAGCTTTCATGAAATCATCAGAATCTAGTTTATCTGTTTTATTGGTGGCCCCGCCATTTATTGATTATTCTTCCTAATTTCTTGTATGTTTCTGTTTTATCAAATTTCCAAAAGTAAACATCAGATATTTAAAAGAATATTTCAAATGTCGTGAAATTGCACTAATTCAACCCTGTTGGGTGTCAGGGAAATAAGCCATGAAATTTCTGTAGGGCTGTGGAAAGATAAATTAATTTTCCAACAGGATAAAGATGAGTCAAAGGAAGAATATGACCCCTGGTCCAGAGAAGGTGCTGAGAGATGTAAGGTACTGAAAGATGTAAGAGAGATGTGTTGGGCAGGAGAATCACATCGGTGGGAGAAGAGCCAGAGGGTGGTGGTGATGAGAGAACTCATTGCTTCCTAGGAGGATTCATAAGCTGCCAGAGAGTTTATCTTGTAAGCCATGGCAAAATATGGATGGCTAGTTTTCAAGGGATAAAAAACAATAGTGATAGACTGTAAAATAATTCGTGTGGGAAAGACAAGTAGAAATAATAGCAACTAAAATGGTTATGCAAACATCCAGGTGACACAGGCTGAAAGTTTGAATAAAGATGTCCGCTGTAGAGGTGGAGAGGGAAAAGGATGACTTTAAAAGTATTCAAGGAGAATACTTGACTTTTTAGTCACTTAGTTGCTGAGATTCAATAACTGACATCCACAACTTAATGGAGGAGAGTTTTATTTTATTTCACATTTCGATTGGCTGGTTCCAAGGCAAAATGACAAGGCAGAGGTGCACTACAGAGGAAAGCTACTCGTGACGCAGTGGCAGGGAAGCAGAGAGAGCTGAAGGACAAATCCCGGAGTGAGATAAATCCTTGGGGTCATGTCACTCACTTCTGATCCATATTACACCTTCTAACAGCAAGTCCTCTATAAGCCCTTGAGTTCAATTCCCTTCCAAAAGCTCCACCTTTGAACGGTTGTGGCTTTAGTGGGACATCTAGATATAAACCATAACACTTGGTTGTCAAATAAAGGGGAGGTACTAGGAACAATTAAGAGCAACTTTAGATATTTACATTTACTAGGTTGATAAATCATAAAATTTTCAAATACATAATAAGAAAGAGAAAAATGGTTAAGGTGATAAGATAAATTTAGTTTGATATTTGAGGTTGAGAATTGGGAAATATGCATGATGTTGATACTTGTAAATACTGCAGCAATTTGGTATAAAATTAAAATTTTGCATCCTAACTAGTAAGTCATGACCTAGAAATAAGGTGATAATCTTTAGACAAGGTGGAAACTTAAACAATAACAAAGATAGATAAATTTTCAGAGAACAGAAATGGAGAAAAGAGACACAGAAATAGAAAACAGATAGTTAATAGTATTAGACTCTGAAGACTGTCAAGTTTCATCATATTCCTTCTGCCATCTTTGGGCAAGGTTCCTAACTAATGTCTGCTTCAGGCTTTCTTGCTGTAAAATAAAAAGAACAGTATTTACTTCATAGAATTGTTTTGTGGACTCAACTAGTCCATACATGTGAATTATCTAGTGTGTACTTGTTACTCTTCAGCATTTATTAAAG